GGCAGGAGGGCCGCCCGTCGGCAGGCCCCAGGGAGTGCTGAGGGGAAGCGAGGGACAAGGGCAGAGACCCAGGAGCACGGAGACTCTGGCTCCCAGGGTGACCTCGAGCAAGCCACTTCCCCTCCCGGGCCCAGTTCCCTTATTTGAAAGGACAGCAGGCGCTCACTCTAACAACAATTCCGTTAGCAATAGTAATCCAACCACAGTTACCCACCTTTCACTACCAGCCGCCTTCAGTGGTTTAACTCACCTAACTACCCAGGAGGCGGGTGGCATTACTGTCTCCATTTTACAGATGAGGACAATAAGGTTTCAGGACATTAATTGCCCTGGCCAAGGTCACACAGAGAGCAGGTCAAGGAGCTGGGTTAGGGTAGCTGGACTTCAGGCGTCACCGTGAGCCCCACCTTCATGTGTTAGACGGGTCTGGAGGCTAGGGCAGGAGCAAGCCTCTTCCTACCAGCTGTGCCAGAGGTCGAGCCAGGCCAGCTTGTTCAGATCCCAGCTCTGCCACTCACTAGCCAGGGCCACTTGGGCAAATGTCTTAACCTCTGAGCCTTTCTCTGGACCCTTTGGACAGAGCAGGGCACATGGGAGACACTCAATAAATATTTGCTAAATGAATGAGAAGGTGCCTTACACCATCGCTATCTTTTGATAGCTCTACTCAATGGGATATTAGACAGCAATTTTAAATAATATGTAATATGATTGAAACAACCACGTGCGGTGTTGATGAGCAAAAGCAGATGTGAGGCTGCGTACAGAATGTAATTATAGCAAGGCGAAAAAACTGGGCGTCAACTAAAGGGGACAGCCTGGCAAAAAAATTATAACAGAGGTATAATCACGACACTGAACCAATTGTCCTGCTTTTCTAATTGTCCCTGTTTTTCAAACGTTCTTTAATCTCATGTTCTACAATCCTAAAAGGGACATTTTTAAGGAATCATTGCATCCAGCTGGCATCCACAGTCCAGCACCCAACACCGTTCCCAGTGTCCTTGCCAAGGAATTCCTCATTAGCCTGTACGGATTCCTTTGATGGTGGGGGACTTGGTGCCCCAAGCAGCCCCATCCATTTCTGAGCCACCGTTGACCTTCCTTCAGAACAGGAGACCCCACTATCTGCCGATAGAAACCCTTATCTTCCCTTAATTCTACTCATTCATTGACATCCCACTACAGCCCCAGGTGTCCCTAACCTGTGCTCTTGACCTCATTGACCTCCAGAGGGCCTCAGGTATCCAATGCCTCCTGTCTCTCCCTCCTCCATCCTGGAGACAGAACTGGTCTCCCCGAGGCCAGGCTACTGGGCAGAGTCTTCATTGGCATCAAGAGTAACAACAACTCCTGCACACTCTCCCATTTACTGGGCACGGACTTTGGGCGGCACAGGGCCACCCTGGAAGGCTGCTTTAGGGATCTGAGCCTGACCCCCAGGACAGTTCAGAAAAACTGAAGCAACTTGAGGCAGGATGATCATCATTGGATCGGTGTTCTTCAAAATGGCTCTGGCTACAGTGATGGGAGTGACTAGGATGGGCCCAGCAGAGCAGTGAAGGGCTATTGAGAATTCAGGGGAGCAGTCAGATGCGGGATGTGAGGGTGGGAGGGCTTGGCACCATCTGGCAGACAGCTATACCCAGGACCCACGTGTTCAACACACCGCCGCTTTCAGAAAGGGCCATCCATCATTCCTGACAAAGTGTTCGTTTATGTCCTGAATCCTCTGCTGGGTCTTCCCCTTAGAGTTGCAATTGTCATATCCATTTATATCCAATTAAGAAATGGAAACGGCTGCTCATAATGGGGCCTATTCAATTTTCTGCTTGAAAGTCTACAGCACAGATGCTCAGTGAGCGGCATGGCCGCCCCTCTCCATCGCCAAGAGGACCCTCAGACTCTCCAAGGGAGTATAGTTTTAAATGCATCTCTGTGGACTATCATTGTACATTTGGAAAAGGAAGAAAATACTTACCTTTTCCCCCAATGCAACTACAGAAAGTAAAGCTCGACAGAATCTTAGGTATAGGAAATATGTGTCTCTGGATAGGAGAGCAATGGAGTCAAAGATTTGGGGGTCACCAAAAAGGTGAGGGGTTTAACAGTGTACAGAATCGTTTATCTAGAGAAGTGACCTCCAGTCCTCACTGCTTTTTAGAATGCAGAGGCCCAGGCCCTGCCCCAGACCCGTTGAGTGAGAATCTGGGACAGGCCTGGGAGGGCGGGCAGCCAGTGCAGCTGACCCGAGCCAGCAGACCAGAAGGGGGCCTGGGGCCTGACTGTTGCAGATTGATTCAAATCCTGGGTAAAGATTTGCAGCCCTTCTGCCCTTGCTGGGGGGCCCAAACTTTGGGGCTGTGTTCAGGACCACCTGCTTTCCCTGATGATGCCAACCTTGTTCAGCTGGGCATAGATCAGAGGGAGGCAAGGCAGGGTGAAGGGACGGGCCACAGTAGCAAACTTTTTGCATCTCCAAACTGTGGAGGAAATTCACGATTAGACTTCTAGCTGTTCTTTCCGTAACATGCATACATCACATTTAATCGTGCGGAACTGAAATCTTTATTGGCCTTTTTTCCGATTATAAAGTTGATGCATATTGTAGGTTGCTCAGTCAGAGACAAAGGGATAAATCAACCAGAGATGAACAAAGTGCCATCAGAGACATCTGTTCTGTGACAATAAAAAAGCAATGTATGTCTTGGGCATGAAAAAACAGCTGTGCCAAAATGTCCTGATTGTTAACAAGTGACTCCTAAGACAAGGATTTATTCATTCATTCAACAAAATTTTTTTTGAGCATCTATTTATTGCTCAGGGATTAGGAAAGTGCTGGAATGCCCACCCACTGACTCAAGAAGTGTCTCTGTGGGAGAGGGAGTGCAGGTACAGAGACTACGCCATGGCAGGGTGCCCCTGGCCCTCTCTGGCCTTCACTCTCACCCCTGCCTGGCAGGTGATGGATCTTGGCCGCCATGCCAACCGCCGCTTCTTCAACTGGTTTTATTGGAGCATCAACGTGGGTGCTGTGCTGTCGCTGCTGGTAGTGGCCTTTATCCAACAGAACATCAGCTTCCTGCTGGGCTACAGCATCCCCGTGGGCTGCGTGGGCCTGGCCTTCTTTGTCTTCCTCTTTGCCACCCCCATCTTCATCACCAAGCCCCCCATGGGCAGCCAAGTGTCCTCTATGCTTAAACTTGCTCTCCAAAACTGCTGTCCCCGGCTGTGGTGCCGACACTCTGCCAGGTAAGGAGGGGGCTCCGGGTGCAGGGGGCCGCCGAGCCTGGAGAAGCACTCTGCTTCTCCTGGGATGTCATAGACTAGTTACAAGAGTTTCTGAAAGCCCTTTATTTAGGGTGGCCTGATCTACAGTGGGCCAGAGCTGCCCGCTGGGACTGAGGATGGCAATGGAGGTCCAGGCCGCGGTGGTGGGATTGACGATGGGCTAACTGGAGAAACTATGAGGATATTAATGGTCTTGAGAGTGATGGTGGCGATGAAGATACAGATGATGGTGTTAGTAGTTATGGTGACGATAAACCCTGTCAATGGTGATAACAATGGCAATAGAGGTGAAATGATGGAGATGATGGTGCCAGTGAAGGTGGTTGGGGATAATGTAAATAATTCTACACTTCCCTGATATTAAGCCTAAGAAATCAGCCAAACTGACTCCTCCCCCCCTTAGCTGGCAAACAAGAGAGGAGAGTTCTGAATGGCCTTGCACTTGCACTGGCATTATGGCTCCCTTCTGCCTCTCTCCTCCCTAAGTTAACCAACTACTTATGCTAAGCAAACCTGTCTCCAGGCCTTGGAGGCAGTTACACCTTCTGTCAGTCGGGTCTAGATGGGAAAGGTGCACAGCATGCTTCCCCCAACCTCCTGCATTGCTCTCAGGTTTGAATGATCCATCGCTGCCTAACAAACCACTCAGAACTTAGCGGCCTGAGCAACCACCTTCCACTACCTCTCACGGTTCTGTGGGTGACGGGGCTCAGCCACTTCTTGTGATGTCACTGGAGGCTGCAGTCATTTGGGGACTTGAAAGGGCTACAACATCCAAGGCGGCTCACTAACATGGCTGGCAGCAAGGCACCTTCGTTCCTTCTCATGTGGCCTCGCCGTGTGGCTGGAGCTGCTCACAGCAAGGTGTCTGGGCTGCCCGAGGAGGGAGTGAACATTCCAGGAGTGGGTGTTCGAAAGGGTCAGCACAGTCACAAGGCTGGCCCGGATTCCAGGGCAGGGGAAATAAGCTCCACCCACTGACCCAGTGACACTCGCTCTGGGAGGGGAGAAGCTGATGGCTGTCTTTGGAAATGGCCACACTGGTATTGCCCCTTTTTTTAGAATCTCAGTGAGGCAAGGCTCTTGGGCAAGAGGGGATCAGAAACCTCTCACTACAAAGGGCAAATGGTAAAGGCTGCCCAGTGGTTGGTCTGCCCTGTCTCTTAGTAATGTTCCCTGCACTCCCTGCCTGTCCACCCCCTACTTCCTTGTCGTGTAGGGAGAGGGCTGTCACATTGAGGAAGATGGGCTTGGAGACAGCAAGTGGGGGAATTTTGGCGTGTCAGAGCTGTGACAGCCTCTCTCTCTGAGTCAGGCATGGGCTGGGACTTCCTTGGCTCCCATGGCAAATTGATGCCACGAGCCAAAAAGTCCCCCAAGACTCCTCGCCACAGTGTCTGGTCTTAGCTGCCTTCAGGACCCAGGGGCGGCAGCCGCAGGGTGGAATGGGTCTTGATCAGCCGCCTTGCTACGAAGGAGATGATAGTGATGATACTGATGGTGGCAGTGGCGGCACTGAAAAAAAATGACGATAGTAACNGTGATAGTGATGATACTGACGGTGGCAGTGGCGGCACTGAAAAAAAGTGACGATAGTAACAGAAACGCCATGGAGAGGGTAGCTTTGGACAGTGAGCACGCCTTGGTGATTAGCATCACGGTGCTAACGGTGGAGTGAAGACGGGGTGGTGTCGGAGGCGATGGCTGTGACAACCGACTATGGGGGAGGATCCGATTAGGAGGCCGTGGCGGGGGTGATGATAGCTGCCCTTTTATCTGTTGCCCCACAGAGACCCTCAAGACGCCCAACTGCTGCCTGACCAGAGGTCTCCCCAGCCTGGCCCTTCCCCCCAAGAGGACATCGCCAACTTTCGGGTGCTGGCCAAGATCTTGCCCGTCATGGTGACCCTGGTGCCCTACTGGATGGTGTACTTCCAGGTGACACCTGTGCCCTTTCGCTCAGGAGGGACTGGCTCCCCAGGCCCCTCTCCGTTTTAATCCTTCACTGTGGAAGCTCAGGGCAGGTGGACAGGGGAAGGGTTCACAAAGCAGACAGCGGGCATGGGTCGGGCACAGAGCCACCCCGGTAGTTAAGCTCCCTTGGGCGGTATAACATGAGGAGCTCTGGAGACGGGGCTGAGGCTCAGGAGCTTGAGGCCATGTCTCTGGGCCTGTTCCCTCGTGTGCAAAATGAGAGGCTCAGGCACTTGGGTTGCTCCGGGCAGCAGCTATTTGTCAACTGGTGTGGAAGGATGTCAATATTCTGATAAGAGTACGCCTGAGAATCAGCCATGGACACACACACACACACACACACACAGCTCTGCAGCCTTCAGATTTTTCAAATTTGGCAGCTGAGGCCCAGAGAAGGTCTGCTGGTCAACCGAGACTCCACAGCAGTTAGGGGGCAGCTCAGTGCACTGAGTACTTTGTAACAGTGGTTCCCCACCTGGCCATGCCTCGGAATCCCCTGCAGAGCTTTTAAAAAATAAAGGGCTCCAGGTCCCACCCCAGACCACTGGAAGGGAATTGCTGGGGAAGTATCTCCTGTAATCGGCTTCTCAGATGATACTGATACGCAGCTGGGTTTGAGAACCACTGCTTCCCACCCCTCCCCCCGGGGAACATGAGCAGGAGTATGTGTGTGAGCCTGTGCGTGCGTGTGCGTGCGTGTGTGAGTGTGTGTGTGTGTGAGCCTGTGCGTGCGTGTGCGTGCGTGTGTGTGTGTGTGTGTGAGTGGGCAGCAGGCTAACCCCAGCCCCTAATCCCCAGAGCACAAGCTCACTGCCTCCCATACCCCCCCAAAGGAACAGTATTTTGAGCTGCAGGAGATGGGAGTCATGCAGGGCCAGGCAGCCTGCTGCTTGGGGGTAGTACAGGGGTAGGTGTCCAGGATGGGACAGGGACATGGCGTGTGTGTCCATGGCTGATTCTCAGTCGTACCTCTTGTCAGAATATTGACATCCTTCCACACCAGTTGATAAATAGCTGCTGCCCCGAGCAACCCAAGTGCCTTCCCCTGCCCCAGAGCCTCCTGTGGGACTCCCTGGATGCCCTTCCATTAGATAGCAACTGAAAAGGGTAATGCCTGCACCTGTCACCGGATCCAGAGCCATTCCGATGGGTCAACCTGTGGGACTCAGCTTGGCCTCAGTGTCAGATGAGCACTCCCCGTGGGGACAGCCATGTCATTATTTTCCTCATGTCAACAAACATTTACCCACGCCTGCTCTGTGCCAGGCCCTGGAGACACAGTATGAGTCCCACCAGCTGTGCCCAGCTCTGAAATAGAGCCGCCCACACAGCTCGAGGGCCTGGGAGCAGAGTGAAGGAAGTTCCCTGGCCAAGCCTGCTTCCGAGGAACAAGGAGGGTGGGGAGGTCACTTTCCCCCGAGGCTGGGGAGGGACAGCTGCCCAGCTGCTCTGTGCTGCTGCTGCGGAATGCCTGCCTCGGGCTGGAACGTCCTGGGGCTGGAGGCCAGGCGGCCAGCTCTGTTCCAGCTTCACCTCCACCTCTCTTGGCAGATGCAATCCACGTATGTCCTGCAAGGTCTTCACCTTCACATCCCGAACATTTTCCCAAGCTACCCTGGCAACAGCTCGGTGGCTCTGGGAGCCCAGGAGAGCAGCTACAAGGTGAGAGATGACTGGTGTGTCCAGCCCCCAGTTCAGACCAGACTTAGAAGAGAAAGAAATGAAGCTGCCTCTGCTCCCCTCGCCCAGTGGCAGGGTGTCCTCAGGGCACAGGAAAGGCACCTGGAGGGTGGGCAAACTTGTGCCACAGCCCAGCCACCCTCCCAAGGTGCTCAACTGCTCAAAAGAATTCAAGGCAGCTTCACTCCCAGCCATTGCTGCTCTGAGCGGGCCTCACTGCCAGTTTGTCCCTCCTCAGCTCTGCTTCTCCCTCTCTGGGACCCTGCTTTTCACCAGGACTTTCCAAACCAGCTCCTTAGCATTCCAGGGACTCATAAAATCAAAGATCTTCAGAGCTGGCAGATGAATGGCATATCGGCCACTCTACTTCCCTTTGTTGCCCATGACAGACATCACTAATCAATCATGGCATTCTTTATGCTGAGCCCATGAATGTTCCAGGGAGCCATGACCAATGGATAGAAGTTAGAGGAACCTGTTTGCTTCCATGATCCAATCCTACCCCCTAGTCACACAGCTGAGGAGTGTGCCTTCCGGAGAGGGGAAAGGGCTGACCCAGGGACAGTATGGAGTCCAGGTCTCCAGGCGCCAGCCCAGAGCTCCTTCTGCCCTGCTAGCCTGCCTCTCTTGGCTCCCTCTTGCCCAGATCCCTGAAGCCTGGCTCCTCCTGGCCAATGTTGTGGTGGTGCTGATCCTGGTGCCAGTGAAGGACCACCTGCTCGACCCCTTGCTGCTGAGGTGCAAGCTGCTTCCCTCGGCCCTGCAGCAGATGGCCGTGGGGATGTTCTTTGGCTTTGCCTCCGTCATCGTGGCAGGTGTGTGGCCTGAGTGATGGGATGTGGGGAGGAAGGCTGGCCTTGTCTGGGGGTCGGGAGAGGCTAGCTCCACTATGACCGATGCTGAAGCCAGGGGCCCTGGTACCCTCCACCCCTGGGTGCCAGTCTTGGCCTCCCAGAGGGTGGGAGCTGATGAGGAAACTCGGACCAAGAGAGGAAAACAGATTTTCCCCAGTGAGATGTAAGCTCCCCGGAGGCAGGGTTTTTTCCTTTCTTATTCACTGCTATGCATAATGCATGTGTGTGCTGAGCAAATGTGTTGAATTTACCAAAGACACGCAGCCTCTTGGTAGCACATAGGAACTTTTCAGAAAGTATTTATTTATTCTCTCCTTTCTTCCATTTCAAAAGAATTTGAAGCCACTTATAAAAAAAAAAAAGGTGCTGGGGTAAAGCAGCTTTTCATGCTGTGGCACAAACCTCAGCCCTTTTCACTGGGTCACTTGATGATTAGAGTCTCTGAGCCTCCTTTAAAACACAGAGTAATTCATTTCGACCCGGTGCAAGGCCCAGGCTTTGCCCACGTGGAATGCAGTCTAGCAGGAGCGTTGTGCAGGTTAAACATGATGAAGTCTGCAAAGCACCCAGCGCCGTGCCTGGGTCACAAGTAGGAGCCAGGGGAGTGACTAAACAGTAGTGTGTTGCAAGGATAGAAACCAAACGAGGTTCTTGGAAGCTACGTGCTTTAATGCATTTTGTCCTATTTCATCCTCACAATAATACTGGGATTTTTATTCCTACTTCCTGCATAAGGGAACTGAGTCTCAGCGAGGTTAAGTGATTTGCCCAAGCTTACACAGATAGTCAGTGGCAGGGCCAGGACTGGAACCCAACTCCAGTGCTCTCTCCTACGCAGTGAAGGGGAAGGAGGTAAAATAAACTTGAAAGCCAGGTTAGAAACCCTGCTGTAATACTTGATGCTATATAGTAGAGGAGTCATGTGATAGCACAGAAAGTGGGCCAGCTTTGAAACCACACACTGGGGCTCAAATCCAGCCCCAATTACTTATCAGCTGTGTGACTCTGGGCTGGGCTTAACCTGAATTTCTCTTTCTTCATTTGCTAGAATGTATATTAAATGCCTACCACACAACAGGCCCTTGATTCATGAGAGTTGTTCCTGTTATTGAGTGCAAGACCTAGCTCTGAGCCTCCTAGCAGCCAATGCAAAAAGGGAAGAGCTGGAACCCAAATCTTGACACACACACACCCTAGTCCAGTATTCTCTTGCCTATCTGCTGCCCAGTCACTGGCTACTTAGTGAATGCCCTTCACATGCCAAGCTCTGCCATGGGGTGAACTGCCTGGAGTGGGCCTGACTGTAGTCACCTCTCCCCCACCAGGATTCCTGGAGATGAAGCGTTTAGAATACATCCATCACAACCAGACGATATCCCAGCAGATCGGGGAGAATGTGTACTATGCAGCACCACTGTCTATCTGGTGGCAGATCCCGCAGTACCTGCTCATCGGGATCAGTGAGATTTTTGCCAGCATCCCAGGTACCCTGGACCCCTCGCCTACTCTTGCACCAGTGATGGGCTCTGCCTGGTGGTGCCTTGAAGTCAGAGGTCTCATGGGCACAGCCTCTCGAGCTCATCTGCATGGAGGAGGCAGGATTTTCTGAGTGGGGCTGAATATACCCAGTGGGGATTCATTAGCACCTGGTTTGTGCCAGGCACTGGGATAGGCACTGGGGATTTGGAGGTAAGACACTTTCCACACCAACTTTCCACATGTCCCCCGCTTCCAAGTTCCCGCATTCTGTCTTTGCAGCTTCTGTTCCAGCTGCCTCAGATTGAAAGTGAACACCTGTTTCCCCTTCAGTTCTGAGCCTAAATGCCATCTCTTTCATGAGTCTTCTCCAAGCCCTTCCACCCAGGGCAGAAGGGTCCTCCTCTCCTCCCTTGTCATCTCTGTCACAGCACACTGGTCACTGTGTTGTAGTAATTCACTTATGTGTCTGCATCTCCGGATGGGCTGTGAACTGAGAGCAGGAGGGCTGGGCTGGGCTCGTCAATGCACCCAGGAGCAGGGGCCTACTCCGCTGCAGGCGCTGGGGGAGGCTGGGTGGGACTCACTGGGGAGGGCGGGGTAGCAGCCTCCTGAACTGTGGAAGTGA